GGCCCACGCGAACCACACGGCGCACCGCAGAAGTGCGCCGCAAGTATTGTATGCCCTGAATCCAATTTCTTACTCTCACTCCAATCTCCCGTGGATCTTCTTGACTGAATACCACCAGCACTACCCCCACTCRACAACACATGTGGTTGCCTCYCAGATGCCATCCAAGCAATCCCTGGTTAAATCACACACACCTGCAGAGACCATGACCCCCTTTCAACTTTATCGTCTTGCCTTCGTGCTCTTTTTCTTCCTATTTAATGTGGGCGTTAACCACCACCAAACTGCAATTCTCGCCCACTGAACTGGAACATTTCAGAACTGGCGATAACAAAGGAACACGGCTCGTCAAATCAACTTTTCAACGCCTAACCAGCTTATGGGTTTTCGGCGTTTCGCACTTCTGTAGCTTGTCTTATCCCTCTAAGAAGCTGGCTACGAGGAAAGGTCCCCGCGTAGGTAGTTAGCAGGCTGACGTCTTGTTCGTTAACGGAATTAACCAGACAAACCACTCCACCAGATGCAGCTTGCCTTAATCCAATAGACAAGAGGAGCTGAGGTGAATTAACCAGACAAATCACTACACCAACTGCAGCTTGCCTTAAACCAGACAAATCACTACACCAACTGCAGCTTGCTTTATTCCAATAGCCAAGAGGAGCATTCCAACAACCGAAAGGAGCAGTCGCATCAACGACTAAAAAGAGGCGCCATTCATATTTTCAGAAGTAATGGAGACATAAGGTCCACCTCACTAAAAAGAGGAGCATTCCAACAACCGAATGGCGCAGTCGCATCAACGACTAAAAAGAGTTTGCATTGGCTTCAATCAGTAAAAACACACAGCTGAACATTGCTGGGCTGCTGACATAAGGTCCACCAAAGCGAAACACAGTACGGCAGACAAAACAGACAAGACTAAAGAGGCCAGACAAAGACAGAAAAACGGGATTGCTCTTCTGTAATTTTCCCCATTTTCTCCACTTTCCCCATTTGTCAGCKGTTCAGGGTTCTCTACTTCCTTTCTCCCATTCTCACGGTAATTAATTAGCAGTCCTCACCCGTAATCTTCCATCCAGGCATACCTGATGAGCAAGCTCGTGCGCAACAACATACGCAACGTGCTGCCTTGATGCAGCAGAAGCGCTTTTGTCATCAACCAAAAGGGCCGTTTCGCGAAATGTGATCAGACCCCAATTCTCCATAGCACCAGCTGCAAAATCAGGAATTGCAACAAGGTCGCACTTGGGCAAAGGAAATCCAATCCCAAAATACTTGGTGAAGAAAGAGAGCACTTGTGTCGCCACTGTCAGAGCAAATCGCCCCTCCTCCTTCTTCCCAGGGGTTGTATAGACATTCACCTGCAGAACAACATAAAAAAGGGCAGTGATATACATACAAACGTCACCAGATAAGAGCAGGAAACAGTAAATTATTTGCAATTCACATCACTTCCTTATGGACAGCAAAATCTCTCTCTCTCTCTCTCTCTCTCTCTCTCTCTCTCTCTCTCTCTCTCTCTCTCTCTCTCTCTCTCTCTCTCTCTCTCTCTCTC